CCAAAGTCGGATGCTCAACCAACTGAGCCACCCAGGCGCCCCTTATTTAAGTTTTATACCTGTATGATGCCAACAGAGAAATTATTTTTTTAAATCCTAAGTAAAATAATATATAATCTAAGGATTTTCAGCAAAATGAGTATACATCACTATAGAAGTGTCAAGGAAGAAAGGATGGTTTGTTGGAGAGAGCTTAAAGAGACTGGGAGCTTAAAGATCTGGGTGCTAAATCTGAGTGTCCTCAGACTAGCTCTGTGATCTTGAGTGTGTAATTTCTTTAAAAAAATTTTTTTTAAATGTTTATTTTTGAAGGAGAGAGAGACAGAGTGTGAGTGGGGGAGGGGCATAGAGAGGGAGACACAGAATCTGAAGCAGGTTCCAGGCTCTGAGCTGTCAGCACAGAGCCCAACGCAGGGCTGGAACTCACAAACCGCGAGATCATGACCTGAACCGAAGTTGGACGCTTAACCGACTGAGCCACCTAGGTGCCCCTTGAGTGTGTAATTTCATATGTCTGAGCCTCAGCTGTCTGAGCTGTTAGATGGTGGCAAAAACTCCAATTTTGCCTACCTACACAGGATTGTTAGAAGGATCGATATGAACATCTTTTGTAAGCTGCTACAGTGATGAAAAGACTCTGTTATGATTGCTATTAGCAGCTTAACAAATTTTAGGAAAAATACGTATTTGAAAATATTTAACACCTGTATGTGTCATTTTCCTTCAAGAAGTACTAAGTTAAGACTTTAAAATTAGAGAACTTGTTTGAAAATGGTGATGAGTTGAGCAACAGCAAAACACTGTGGTTTGATCAAAAATTAGTTTATCAGCAACCACAAAAGTTTAGGCCCTGGGCTTCAAAACATTCTCTTCCTTCTTCAATTTGAAATATCATAGGTGGCAAAAAGGAGGTGGGGTACTCCAAGGTAAGTTTTAATCATGTTCCCAGGTATTAGATAGATTGATCCAGAGAAAAATCAGAAGAATATAGTCTTTTATTTTATTTTATTTTATTTTTACTTTTACTTTTATTTTTTTAATTTACATCCAAAATAGTTAGTGTATAGTGCAACAATGATTTCAGGAGTAGATTCCTTAATGCCCCTCATCCTCCCTCCCACACCCCCTCCAGTAACCCTCTGTTTGTTCTCTGTATTTATGAGTCTCTTATGCTTTGTCCCCCTCCCTGTTGTTATATTATTTTTGTTTCCCTTCCCTTATGATCATCTGTTTTATCTCTTAAATTCCTCATATGAATGAAGTCATATGATATTTGTCTTCCTCTGACTAATTTTGCTTAGCATAATACCCTCCAATTCCATCCACGTAGTTGCAAATGGCAAGATTTCATTCTTTTTGATTGCCAAGTAATACTCTATTGTATATATACTGCATCTTTATCCATTCATCCATTGATGGACATCTGGGCTCTTTCCATAGTTTGGCTATTGTTGATAGTGCTGCTATAAACATTGGGGTCCATGAATCCCTTCAAAACAGCACACCGGTATCCCTTGGATAAATACCTAGTAGTGCAATTGCTGGGTTATAGTCATTTTTCAGAGGTCATTTGCCCTTACTCCTGCTCTATCAGGCTGAGGTTATAACAGCAAAGACCATTTCTGTCTTTATTTTTTGTCATCTCTTCCTGTTTCATCCTTTCCTCTCTCTTCTTGGGAACATGCTGCTTTGGGGAAGACAGGGTTTACTCTCTGGGCAGAAATGATTCCTGGCCCATTCCTTTCCCCTTTGCTGTTTCTTCATTTAGCAACATATAGCTGGAATGTATTTGAGAGGTTGTGTATTAAAGAGTTGAGGACTGACCTTTGGTGTGGTCATTAAAGACCATACTAAAAAATGTGCTTTAGGCACTCACCTCCCTTCCCCCACCCCCAGTTCTTTAATGCTCTCTGTGTTCATGTTCTTCTGTGTTTGTTTGCCATTTTTGCACGTTGAGTTAATTGTAATGATTTTGATCCAGGGAAAAGACCCATCAACAAATTGGATTCTTCTGATCCTTTTAAACTGAATGATCCATTTCAGCCTTTCCCAGACAATGATAGCCCTAAAGAAAAAGATCCTGATATGTTTTGTGATTCATTCACTTCTACTACTACCACTGCTACCACTACCAATAAAGAGGCTGACCCAAGCAATTTTGCTAACTTCAGTGCTGTAAGTACTGTGAATGGGCTGGTTGGGGGAAAATATTTCCATTTACAGTTTAAAAGGTTTTCAAAGATTACTTTGGAGTCTGCCAAATTTGCATCATTTCAACTAAATTTACCAACATACAAAAAATGATCTATATTCCTCTCCCAACCAAAATTTCTGTTTGATTCTGTTTTGATGGTTCTAACATTGTTCCATTGCACAAATGATTTTAGTAGTCTTAGTTCTTGTGATATATACCAGTTGCTTTGCAAACCCTTCTCTTAGTCTTAGTAAACATATAAATGAAATCTTGACAGTTATTATTTTGCAAATTGTAATGGATGATGGGCCATTAGAGAGTCATTTGCTGTCTGCCCGCTGGACGAATAATGGCAATAATGGGCTTATGTATTTGTAACTGTGTATGTGTGTTTGTGTATAAAGTTTTCATGATTTCTGGAGACCTGTCAGCAACTATTATATGAAAGGATAAGGCCAAGGATTCTTTGAATAGAAGGCGAAACTCTGTTTTTTTATAAGATAGTATTTTTAAAATGTAAATGTTGGTTTTATGAAATAAATACAATTGTCAAGCTAAACAATCTTTAATTATTTGGAGGGCTCTAATTCACAATTAGAAATTCCATATATTCCATATTTACTCTGCATTCTCCCAGAGCTGACTGAAATAGGCAGACCATTAAAAACAATGGAAAGATGCTGTGATAACCCATAGATAAGGGCTATAAGATCACAGAAATGGAGTAACCAACTATGGAGGTGTCACTCTGGAGGGACAAAGCAGTGATATATATTCCATCATTATTTACATAAAAACAAAGCTTTTTTTAAATAAGAATCTTCGAGTAGGTAACAGAAGCTTCATTTCCCTAGATTTTTTTTAGACAATGACTTTCATAGTGCCTCTTCTATAATAAAGGAATTTTCCTCTACTTACCACCTTAGTCCCTTGAGATGTATTTGGAAATAGAAGATCTGGGTAACCCTGGCCACAGTCTGTCTCATGTCTCCCTCAGTATAGCATTGGGTCATTCAACCAGGCAATGTATCCTTATAGCTGTTTCTAGTTGGAAAGGAGGTAGCCAGGAATCTGCATGCAGACAAAATTAGACTAAGCTACCTTTCATTCTTTCTTTCTTTTTTTTCCAGCTTTTGACTATGTACTCCATAGTCATAGAAGTCCAGTGGCTTCTTCTGAATGAGAAGGAGCAGAATAAGAATCAGTATTTTGAATACTAGAAAATGGAGTGTCAGAATTATACTGACTTAACTTTGTTACATAGAATTTGAGTTGTTTCAAGCAGAGAATCCAGAAATTGCTCTCTTTAGGAAATTATAATCTGCTTATTATAAAATACCTTCTGGCTGTGGTATTTAATATCTTAAATATGATTTCAGCAAGTCAGAATCTTATTGGAATAAGTCTTGAACAATAGTAGAAGCATTATGCTTATTTTATACTTCAGAATTTCAATATAGTATAATATAACGCAACTCATAATAAAAATGCCTGCCTTTTTTCATTATGAAAGATTTGTTAAGTATTGTTAAGTTTCAAACTCCCTCTAACTCACTAGGGAAAAAGCTACCATCTTCAAAAAGCCTGACAATTTCTTTAATTTCATCATGTTATGGTATTCCTTTGTATGACAAGACTTCAAACCAAGGAAAACTTTTTTATTTTGTATCTGTCAGTGTTGCTGTTTTGGGTAGATAAAAATATTTCCCTGACTGATGTTAAGGTTTAAGGTTTATTAATGTTAAGTGTATAGTTTTATTTAGACTGAGTCAAAAAGTTCTCAGTGCCTGCAAAAATCTTTACAATGCATTAAAAAAATAATTTGGTCCACTTCTTGTTTAGTATACCCAGTATGCTTTTTTTATGTATAGCAAAATCAGCATATTCTTGCTACATAGTTTTTCTGTACATGAGAGCAAGGGTAAGGTAAGAAATCATCAGTAGGATTAAGCTGAAATGATTGATCATGTGAGGATGCTCCCTGAGGTTGAAGTAATTAGTGTTTTGCATTACATTAAAAGGCTAGCCTACCTGTTTGTAAATGTCCTAATTCACCTTAAGCATTTCTACTTTTTAAAAGTGTTTTAATATTTAGTGTTATAGACTTTCTATCAGTAGACTGTAATAACTTTTAAGATTAAACCACATTTAATAACTGGTAAAACTAAGTGTGTTTTCAGGGAAAAAAAATAAACAGGTAGCAAATAAGACTATTCCCAGAGTCCTTGCAGGTGAAACAAGTATTTAATGTTCTTTGTAACAACTGTTTTCCTTCTTGTTGTTTGTTTTACTCATTAACTTGTTTATCCGTCTTTTAAATGGCAGTATCCCTCTGAAGAAGATATGATCGAATGGGCCAAGAGGGAAAGTGAGAGAGAGGAAGAGCAGAGGCTTGCCCGATTGAATCAGCAAGAGCAGGAAGACTTAGAACTGGCTATTGCACTCAGCAAATCTGAGATATCAGAAGCATGAAGAATTCTCCTGTCCTTTGTCAACCATACAGTATTCTTCTTCCTGAATACTGAAGCTCTTTACAGTGTGTATGAAAACTACCTATGAGCATGGGAATACAAAAGGTTTGCAATTCCTGTAAATGTGACAAAAGTTTGTTTTGGTTTTTTGTTTTTGTTTCTTACTCCATTTCAGATTTGTCTTTTTTTTTTTCTTTCCACCTATAAAAGCAGTAACCCAGTCAGACAACTTCACCTACACCCCTATTCTGGTGTGCATTTACTGTGAGCTTTTGCCTGCCTGTGCTTTTACTTGTAAAGCTAGAGTACCCAAGCTTCTGCCTTCTGGAATATACAGAAATAGTTTCATCCCTGTGCTACCCTTGTTCTGTAGTTACTCTGATGATAGCCAGTGGGGTTCTTAAAGTTTGCAGTACTCTTCTCTGATTTGAATGGTTGAGGGAGGGGAAGGGAAAGAACATCCTATTTCTTTTATGATAGTGAAAATTGGCTAGTTTAAAGTATATGTTTGTATTTCCTTATAATGAATACCGTTCAATTTGTTTTTTATAGACCAGGAAAAATATTTTGCGTAAATTGACTCCACTATTGAAAAAGGAATACTTTAGATTGAACCATTACAGCTTCAGATTCAATCTTGTCCTAAATAAAAATGTTAAAGCCTCATGTGTGAAATATACTTTTAAAAAAATTTCTCTGGATTTAAAGAATGTTAGATGAACAGATTACCTCTCCATAATTTTAAGTACTAGATAGTGGAGAAAACCGTATCACTTAAAGTATCCTCATCAGTATAAGGTAAGCAAAAATCTTAACATGGCAGCCATTCTGCCATTGGTATGGCACTGTCCTCCTTAGTTCATGGTAGGTTTATTTTTGTACTTTGCAGAAGAAACTTTAGCAAGCTAGAACTGGAAGGTACTTTAAATTTTTGTATACATATATTTTTGTTTCCTTTAATGAAGGCTCACTTACTTGAACTGTAAAAACTTCCACTGAATACAAATGAGAAGTGACATGTATTAAATCATATTATTGTTTTTTGTCCATCTTTGTGGTTTAAAATAGTTAATTCTCTTCCTGGGTTTGTTTGTTTGTTTGTTTGTTTGTTTGTTTGTTTGTTTGTTTTTTAACCTATAAAATTGGCAGGCTAGCAAAAAAAATCTCTTTTTTTTAATTGGGAGAGAAGAGACCTACCAAATTGTCAAAGCTCTTCATGTGTTAAAAGCCTGTCTCCTGTAAAACTGACCTAGCAGACAAGCTGAATTTGAAATAGACTGTGGTGTAGGCTGTAAATTGTAGAATAACCTTAGTTTTCTTTTAACATCAGTAATTGACTTAGATAATGTATTGAATACCAAGATGAAAAATGCACCTACAAACTAAAAATCTCTGTGGTCACCAAGTCAAGGTGGTATTGATCTGTGTTAATCAGAGTAACTTATTGCCTAGCCTATGAATAAATTCCAAAATATCCAATTCATTTTATCTTGAAATGGTGCTTTTTTTTTCTCTCCACACACAATTTAAAAACAAACTTAAACCACATTCTTGCACTGCTTTTTTCTACTTTTATAAATTGAAACATTTCAGCATAGAAGTTATACATATGAAGCAAGGGCTGACTCATAATCGTAAGTCTTTAATTTTGATAAACTAATCCAGTGACCTAAGGATATACTACAGAAGTTGATTGAGAGGGTAGTGTTGGGAGTTGTTAGGTAGTGGTTTTGGGGGTTTTTTTCCTTCCCCTTAAACTTCAGGAAAAAGGTAAGTTGACTTGAATAACCTTCTTTTGCACTGGGAAAATGAACAGATGTTTGAAATGCTTTTAAAATATTTTTTTTAATTAAAAAGCCACTCTGGAAAATATTAAATATCTGTAACTTAAAAACACCAACTTTCGATGTAATAAATGTACCCTAACCTTATGTTTGTTTAACTGGATTACATAGATTCTTATCTTTTGTTAAAATATGTATACTCAGTGGGCCAATATAATATTAAAGTATGTATATATATTATATACATATGTATGTGTGTGTGTGTGTGTGTGTATGTATGTATATATATATATATATATATATATATATATATATATATATATATATATATATATATATATATCTCGCTCCATGCTCACTTGTAGAAAATGAATGTCTTAGAGTCATTTGTGATTACATTTTATGTCGTTGACTCTGGCTGCAGAGCCTGTGCTTTAAAAGGACAGATAAGTATTCCTGAGAGCTAAGTGGCACTACTTACAAAGTTTTAGCCATCTTCCACATACTTGTTCAAATTTATTTGGGCTCTCTATAGACTTTTCTCTTATGTTTCAAACTTCCAAACTGTAGCCTGTAATTATGAGAACAATAAACTTTAAGTAATAATAAAGCATACTATCCATATATCCTATTTGAAATGGAGTTTTGCGGTTCTCTGTTACGTCCATGCTATTTCCAAGGAGGGGTAGGTATACAGTCAGCACTGATTAATATGTGTAAAGTGCTTGACGCGGTACCTGGTATAGAGTAAATACTCAATAAATATCAACTACTATTTTTAGTTATCATGTCCTGTTTTTGTGAAAGAAAGATAGGAAATGTGTATGCATAGGGACAGTGCCTGAAACATACATGGCTTTGTGTATATTTGTTGAATGAGGATTTGTGACCTGGACCCTAGGAGGGCACCATGACATAAAAAATTCATGCAGTCCTGGAATTGAATCCCTAGTCTGCCAGTTTGGAGAAAGATATCTTTGAGAAACTTACTTAGCCTCCCTGAGCCTCATTTTCGTTATCTAAATGAATATTGTAATACTTGACTCATAGGATTTTTCTGAAGGATTTCACTTTGGCAGCTTTTTAATGTTACTTACTTTAATTAAAGTCAGTCATGTTATTGGTAGTGAAAGTAGCTATTGGTCTCCTTGTGATGGCAGTATGAGAGTGGAGTATGTCAGGACAGGCATTTAGAAAGTTTCTTTCCCTCTTTGACCAAGGTTTTTGGGGTTTTTTTGTTTTTGTTTTTTTTGTTTTGTTTTTAAGAGAGAGAGAGAGAGCATGCGAGAGCACACATGTGGGGGGAGGACAGAGGGAGAGGGAAAAAGAATCTTGAGTAGTCTCCACACCCAGCACAGAGCCTGCCGTGGGGTTCGATCTCACAACCCTCATGACCATAAGATCTTGACCGGAACCAAAATCAAGAATTGGACACTTAACCTACTGAGCCATCCATGTGCCCTTCTTTTTAAAATTTTTTTTTTTTCAACGTTTATTTATTTTTGGGACAGAGAGAGACAGAGCATGAACGGGGGAGGGGCAGAGAGAGAGGGAGACACAGAATCGGAAACAGGCTCCAGGCTCTGAGCCATCAGCCCAGAGCCCGACGCGGGGCTCGAACTCACGGACCGGGAGATCGTGACCTGGCTGAAGTCGGACGCTTAACCGACTGCGCCACCCAGGCGCCCCCATGTGCCCTTCTTTGACCAAGTTTTAGTTGAAAGGTGTGTAGCCGAAACTGTAACCAAAGGGGAGGCATCATGCTTCCAGAAAAATCTAAAAGAAAAGTATTGCAGGCAACAGTAGTAACTATTGGATCGTGCTCTAAAGGTGGAGAGATTTCAACAGTTGTAAAAGTTGGAAAGAAAGTTCTTCTTCCAGAATAATGGAGGCACCAGAGCAGTTCTAGATGATAAGGATTACTTCTTATTTAAAGATGGTGACATTCTCGGAAAGTACGTAGACTGAAATAAGTCATTATTGAAATGATTTTCAGATGAAGCTGCCCATTCCACTGAAGTTCTGGAATCTTTCATCATATAAATAATTTCCATGTCTCTTTTATAATAAACTGATTATATCTTAAAAAAAAAGGAAAGAAAAAGCCATTGGTTATTGAATACATGTTGAGTGTGAGGCACTATACTAAGCATTTTATCTGTTTTCTTGTTTAATTTTACAACAGCCTTAAGTAGTACTATTATCATCCTCTATTTGAAATGGTAAACTGAGGCTCAAAAAAATTAAAACAAGTAGATTTGCCAGGATTTGAACTCTGGTCTCTCTAATTCTAAAACATGATACCCTTTCCAGTTTACCATGCTTTGTCTTTGTGTGAAAAAGTTTGCTTCTAGGAAATACCAAGAACAGGACATGATAAAATAATAACAAATAACATATTAATCTCCAGGCTGAATCCTTAGTGTTTTACATATATTAGTTCATTTAATCCTCACAATAACAGTAACTCTGTAATGTAAACATAATAATAATTATTATTGTCCCCATTGTATAGAAGAGATGCCCCACTAAGCCATGGTTGTGTACCTAGTAAGTGGCAGAGTTGGCCACTTTTGAACTCACGAATCTGGCACCAGAGTTTTAACCACTACTTGCTATTTCTTTTAAAGGTGAGAAGCCAGAGGAGAAATATCATAAATAGAATAATCCATGTAATATCTGCTCTTGATTAATGAAATAGACCTACTACATAGCGCATGGCATCTCAAAGACATTTTCCAATTCATTCTCATACTTAATCCTTACAAAGATTTAAAATAGTTTCTGACCCATGAAGGCACTCAACCATTGTTAGTTGTTAATATTACCATAAGTGATAAATAAGTACATAGGGGAGATGGTCAATGTTGCTTTTATTAAAGAAATACAAATTTTAAAATCACAAAGGTAGCAACAATGAAAAGTAATTTATCAGTACTTGCAAAGCTCTGAAAAATGCATAAAATGGTAGGCAAAGAGTAGTTTTTGAAGAATTTGCTGCACAAAGGGATGAGGCATTCTGGGCAGAGGCGATGACTACATATAAAAGACAAAGTGAGGGCACCTGCGTGGCTCAGTCCAACTCTTGATTTCGGCTCAGGTCATGATCCCAGGGTTGTGGGATTGAGCCTAGTGTCAGGCTCTGCGCTGAGCATGGAGCCTGCTTAACATTCTCTCCCTGTCTCCCTCTGCCTTGCTCCCCTGCTGGCATGCACATGCTCTTTACCTCTCTTGCCCTTTCGCTCTCTCTCGCTCTCAAGAAAGAAAGAAAAAGACAAAGGGGTAGGACATGGTATAGTGTGCTAGCAAGTAGCAGGTATCAAAGTAATTCACTGTGGCTAGAGTTTAGGTCTGTGGGCAAAGAGTGAAGTATTTGTGTTTGTATGTAAGAAAGATCTTATTGGTGGTGACTTGGAGGATTGCTTTACGGGGAAATCAGGCAAGGCAAGAAGAGCAGGTGAAGGTTGCTGGCATCATTCAGGTGAGATGGTAAGGAGCTAAAATGTGGCTATGGCTGAGGCCTGAGAGATGGGGGACCAGTTAATTTAGGAGAATTAGCAGGCCTTCAAGGCTGATTAGATGTATATGTTGAGTGAAAGGAGTGGTTCACAAACTTTGCAAGCACCAGGATCACCTGGAGGGCTTATTAAAATACAGATTGCAACCCTATCTGAGTTTTTCTGATTTCAGTAGGTCTAGAGTTGGACCCAAGAATTTGAATTTCTAACAAGTTCCCAGATGATGTTAAAGTTGCTGGCCCAGGGAACCTAACTCTGAGAACCACTGGAGTAGAGGCTAACTTCCAAGCCTCTATTCTGCAAGTTTTGTTAAATCTACTAATTTAGTTTGCCATGCTGTTGCACCTTGTCATTCTATACT